ATTTTTTAATCTTTTTGCTGAACTGTGTTAGTCATTTTTATAATCCTGTAACAACAAATTTGTTAATGAGATGCTTTTTAAATAGAACAAATACTATACATCCAATATGGCTATCTTCGCAGGCCAATGATGGTGGAGATTTCTTCCCGCTATGGGGAACATGTTTGGGTCATGAACTACTGACTTATGTGACTGCAGGCAAAAATTTACTGGCAAACACCAATGCACATGATGTATTATATCCAGTCCATTTCACAAAAGGTTAGTAGACTTTGTATCCGGCAAGATAACAACTATACCGCTAATCACCATTTTAGCTCTTATAGTCAAATTTATCTGAAGCGAGCTATATGCGCAGTACAACCATCAACATTAACTAGATTGCATTGATATTTGATATTTGTGGGTACATGTGTACTTCGGGATTTGCTTTATCTGATTTGTTTATTTCAAGACAATATCTTTCTCATTTTCATAAAATGCTTTTTCTTATTCAAAAAAAACACTAGCATCAATTTCTCTGATATTAGTGGAGCTTGATCTTCAAGTATTTTTTGCATTTCAAAAGCATCTTGAGTGGAGCTTAACTATTAATTTTTATTCATTGTTAGTTTCAGAATCACATCCTCTGATTTAATATATACTTTGAGTGTTTCATCAATAAAGGGGTGGTCGCACTTTCATTGCCATGGCACAAAGTAGATCAATGTACATGTACTAGCATATTGGGAAAATATATAAGTCATCCATTGATTAAAATATTGGCATTTTTAGATTAGCAGTGTGATACATACATGTCAGTCAATTTTAGTACTGTAAAGGGATTAATTATTCACTGGGTTTTAATTTGGCTTATTTCGCTGACTGGAAAATGCGCTAAATTAAAACCCAGTGAATATGTAAAAATTAGCATAGAACACATTATCTAAATGATAAAACCGTGAATTTAAAATCAAAAGAATATGCCTGAAATGGCAAATCAGTGAAATTTAAACCCAGTGAAAATTAGTCATTTTACAGTATATTCTGGAGGGTACAATCATTTCTAAAATATGTAGATTACATTGGCTTTAAATATATTTTATCCGTTTTTCATTAAAACTGTATGGAAGGTGATCAAATCAAATAGAGAATAAAGGGTTCAGTTTGAATTTGATTCATTCGCTAATGGATGCAATGCAACTTCAGAAGAACCTTGGTTATAGGTGTGCAGGTGCTTGCATTTGATTGATATGTTGATTGTTAGGAAGATTGAGTCATTCCTCTCTAAAACATGGAATATGGTTTCTGTAAAATGCAATATATTTAAGGCTAGAAAAAAAAAGTGTTGGTTCTTGTCCATGGATCTTTCATCCTTTTTTCTCTCATTTTTACAATACTTGAACCAAAACAAAAGGCATGAGCACTCTGACTATAAACAAATCATTCATTTTGGGGGTCATGTACATTTGCTTTTTTCATAAAAGAAAGGAATTTGAGTGGAGTGTATAAGATCAAGTTTGGCCTCTAGGGAGAGTTGTTCTGTCATCTTATAACTTCCAACAGGCTGTCAATATCCTACTGCATTTGGCTAAAATTTCAAACCATGCAGTCTATCAAAGATTGATGAAGGAAGATTATACACATGCACTCAAATTGCTTGTGTTTGTCAGATTTCAGATCAAGTCGTCTGTTTCGATTGATGCCTGACAAGATGGTGAATATTCTGGCAAATCAAAACATCACTTATAATCACCACAGATTTGGACTAACTCCTCAGGTTAGTTAAAATATATATCTACATTTTTTTTTGACTAATCAGATTTATATGAGAGTTTCAATTCTAGAGAAGTTTTGAAATAATTTGTTTATGGTCCCAGTTTGATTGCTCCCAGTAATCAAGAAATATTCAAACAAGCGACTTTTGGTCGAAAGAGCTCCACTGTAAGTTAGAAACGTAAGGTGGAGTGATGTTGATCACATCAAATAATTGCGTAATATTGTAGATTTACAAACGAGTAGACCTGAAATGACCCAGCTGTGACCATGAAGAATAGAAGAAACACTTTGATTTCATCAAATCTCGCACAAGACGCACACACAAGCTATGAACAAAATGCTGACGGACGAGAGGATGTACATGTTATATTAGGAAAAAAATGGTGCAACCATCCCAGGTATCTGTGGTATGAATAGCTGGCGATCTCTAACAGCAATGATTGAGTGACCTTGAAATAACCTGGGACGTTACCGAAAACATTTTGATCCCATCCCCTATCACATACCAAGTTTTCACAAGCAATGAGCAAATGACATTGAAATACTCTTGGTGTAACATAAATAATTGGGGGAGGGGTCCTTCCTGACATGCAATATCACATAGCCTCTCTACACACACACAATGAACATGTGACCTTGACCCAACCCTAAAGATATGGGGGGGGGGGGCTTGACATCAATTTCAACATATTTGTCTAAAGAAGCAAAACATATAAACATTGAAATGACCTAGACCTGAAATTCTACATTTTTTAAAAACATTGGCCCAGGTAGTTCAGTACCCAACACAATGTGTACTGAAAAGACTACTGGTACCTTTCAACTGTTACAGTTGCCTAATAGCAGCAAAACAAATAAAAATTGAAATGACCTTGATATGAAATTCCACATTTTTGAAAAACATTGGCCCTGGTAGTTCAGAACCCTTGAATGCACTTGTCTATTACAGTCAATGTATGCTACAAAGCCCATATCTATGTGTGAGAAAAATAAAAGAAATATTCACAAAAAAATTCATAACTTTCACAAAAATAGACCCGTCCATGTATCTACATTATGAATCTCAAAGTGATCTGGCAGGCGATTTTAGAGAAGAAGTAAAAAATATGCAAAAATGAGCAAATGAAAAAAACAAAAATATTTACTAAAAATGGGCTTTTTTACATGGGTTCATGAAATTACTAAGTCAGAGTCTATATCAAGAACATGCATGCCAAATTTCAATGGAATTGGAGAGTTGTTGAAAAAATCTTTTTTGACCAAAAATGACAAAAATATTCCCTAAAACTGGAGATTTATATGTGATGTCATGAAATAAAAATATCTGACAGGTAGCTGTTCATTACATAGCAGGTGATCTACCGGTAACTTGCGATTTGGGAGAAGAAGTCACTCGCTCGGTCATCTTCAATGACAGCGGAGCTAACAATTTCATTCATAATTTTTATTCCTTTCAATACTGAGCTGAAATTCCCTCGTGCTACCATATAAGTAAACACATGATGATATGTCATAGAACATATGACATATGGTAATTGATACCAGTAATTATAACATACAAATAGCTGAAAAATAAATTTGTGGTTGACCAACAATTTATTTACCAGTTGTCAAGAAGCAGTTTGCATATGCATATATGGCACGAACATTTTACACAATATCTGTTCATTTTGTACCACAAAGTCATTTTAGATCAATATTAGTTCAAAACTGAGCTCAAACATATTTAATGAATAACAGTATTATCGGTATTTACCAATATAATTGTAACCTCAATATAGTCCTATGTATGTATCATACTTTTGTGATGGTAGCTCTTACAGCTCATTCAAGGATAAGTGCACTATAAATATTATTATATGGAAAATACAGTTTAATATTTGAAATGAACTGAAATATATAATGGTTACCGGTGAATTCCTGGTATTTGTAAAAGCTACCACTGCAGAGATTTGGCACATTTTTATATTAGGGCATTGGTGGCTTAATTCACAACAGATTAATTCTGGTTCTAATATCCCTACATAGAATTACACGAAGAATGAGAAATTGAGAAATTTCTATCAAATTATATCAACAAGCAAAGATGAAGATGGTTTGGAGTTTATATCCATTATGGAAGGTGTGTTTTCATAATCTATAAATCACAAAAATGCTTCTTTATTCAGATATTCCTTCTAGAAAACACAGTACATGTGTGATGATAGCAATGTCCAATGTTTGTAATGATATCTATGTAATAAGATTTATGTAACACATTGTTTTTTTTTTATCAGCATATAAATACCCATTTTATGGTGTTCAGTGGCATCCAGAAAAGAACAACTTTGAGTGGATGAGAACACAGAACGTAAATCATTCTGAAGATGCCGTGTTAATTTCTGAATATCTTGCAAATTTTTTTGTGGAAGAAGGTTAGAATTCTTACTTTATGAAAAGTGAAGCATGGGGATATAAAAAAACAAAACAATCACTATCTAACCTATTTTATACATGTTCAGTGATTTAGATATACCCAGGTTATCAGCAATTGGCTGGTATTTTAAATTCAGATTGTCCTATTTCGTTCAGCCATTTCAGACAAAGGGCCTAAATGTTTCTGTTTAATTTACTGTTTAACCCCAAATTATGGCTAATAATTAGGAATGTCTTATGACACCAGTTGCTATTTTGAAGTAAAATGTTATGTTGTTTATGTCGTATGGGAACCATTTTGAACACAAAATAACAGTAACATTCCAAAGGTAATTATGAAGCCACTGTCATTAACGTTTTCTGTATCATTACTTTCAGCTCGTAAAAGTTCTCACAAGTTTTCCAGTACAGCAGAAGAATTGGCAGCATTGAGTTATAGCTACACCCCAATTTATACAGGAAAAAATACTAACTTCCAACAGTGCTATTTTCTCTCAGATTGAATAGCGCCCTCATATGCATCTTAATTCCTATTGTGCCGAGCATGAATTGGTTTCTGATTTGAAATTCTCATTGAAGTACCTATATGAAATAACTTTCTGAATTGCACAATGTTTGTTTGGCCCATTTTAAGTGGTTCATTTGCTAACAATTGTTTTTTAACATTAAACTTTGATGAAACATATAAAAGCATATACTCAGTTTAATAAAACTTAAGTTTATCATTTTGAGAACAAATTACCAAGGCGGTAACAAAAAATGTATTATTGACATAACCTGAATGCACTATACCGGTACTCTCAGAATTAATCTTAGAATAATTAAGTCCATGTTTCGCTCTTAAATGGATACAACGTAATATGTCATCATAGACTTTTACATTTTCAAATTGGATGACAATGTATTTTTTCAATTGATAAGATACATACCGGTATTATTGGAGTCTGTAAATATGGAATGTTGTCTATAAGATAATAATTTTGGTGAAAGAAATAAATCTGTGTATAGACATGAATATGAAGCCATGTGCATATAGATGTGTAAAGTGGTTTAGGTGGTGAGGAGCTTGCATAGAAAAGCTATAATCGACCAGTATGTCCCCTCCATTCTCCTTCCCAGAGTGCCTTGTGGTTAGAACACTGTAATTATCTCTGCCACCTTACACCACCAAGACACACTACTACGCGTATTCTTGGCGTGTTTTGTTATTAGAGGCCTATCGAGTACGGTAGATTTCTTCTCACTGGTAAACAGGCTTTAATACATGTTATCGATAGTTGATACTGATTTGTTTCGCAAGCGTGAAATAGTTACAATTTACAAACAAAAATAATTTCATCACAAAATAATGCTGTTACTTTGAAAGTGAGCTTCTCGCTATAATAGCAGCCAGAATCTACAAACATCGCATATGCTTTTGCCAGGTTTGAAAATCAAACACCTGCATGGCAATGTTATCTTCAAAAGTAGTACCACTGTGATGTGTTGACCAATCAACGAGAAGTATAAGATCACATGGTTGCAGAGATATATTCTTAGAAACAGAAATCTGCGTGGGAGATTGGGTCCCCTTTTTTGAGTGAATGGGTTTAATTTCATTTTAATAGCTTTTTTCAACACATAAAACTCATTAATCCTGGCAGAAATGGATCATGTAATTCACTGGTTTCAAAAAAGAATCTTCATCTGAGAAGGGTTGTACATTTGGGGGAGTATCTTTTGTCACATTTTGGTTGTTTGGATAAAGTAGAAATGTTACCTTTTAATAAACATTTCACATGTTAAACACAAGAGGGCATACTTTTAGTTGGAAGAAAATGATTTTCATTTTGTGGGCATGTCATTGAATCCAAAAACAAATTTACATGCATGTCTTTCATTACCATATATCTTACTGTCGCATACGACTTGTTTACCACTTCCGTGTGACTGAGAATGTTTAGAAACTGGTTGAATAGGTAATAGGACACTGTAGGAGGCAATAGAAGGTAATGGAACATTCTAGAAATTGGCAGTAAGTTCCTGACTCATTATGCATGCTGATGTAATGGTCTATTTATAGACAGTGTGGGTATATACAGGGGAGTTGTTCAGTACTGAGTTCAGATTGGAGATCTCGTTGAATTGTGTTGGAGTTTAAGTATCTAGTTATTGGAGGTTTGGAGTTTTACCGAGTTATTGTACTTGATGTTTGCAGAGTATAATAATACCAGTACCAGTTGAAACCTCATCTGTTGGCTCCGTGTTCGTATGTTATCATCGCCGCCAGGGAAGTCTTTATGTTACTGTTGCCATTTTGGTATTTGAACCATCACACCTGTACTATACTAATTACGGTAATATTACGTTGCGTGTGACACTTACCCTTTGAACAAAACAAAACCAGGCATGTGTAAGAAATAACCTGACTGAGACATGATTTAAAATTTGCATTTATTGCACCTTACATTGATAAAAACAAAATGGTGAGAAAAAGGTGCAATGTCACATAATTTACAACAGAAATATTTACAAGACTGTGACTATCAATGATTAAATTTACTCAAGATGCTGAATATATAATGTACATAAATATAGAAAATGATAGTATATTGTCTCTATTGTCTATATACATCCCTCTCTAACGAAGATAACAATGCTGTATTTTTTGTCAGTATATAGTAGGTGCAATGTGGGGGAATACGAGTCTTCCTGAATTCAATGATTCTTCTTTCAATTGGTCCTTGGATCCCCACATTTTCAAACTTCTGAGATTGACACTTGAAAGAATAATAATCAACCATATATATGATGTATAGCACGAATCACATTTACAAAGTTTGTTGTTTGGTGTCTTTTTGCATGATGTGATGAACAATGAGTAGAAAAGTTCCTGTTACATACATTTGAAATACTGAAAAATCACAATATTTGAGTTCTTATTATCTTGATTTCTGCTCCCTTTTCCAGATAATAACAAGACCCTGAAATAAAAAATACCAATTACAGTTAAATACCTACATTTGGTAAGACTATCAAAAGTTGTTTTCTGTGATCATTCAATGAATTAACGACTCAAAGTTTACAACAACTTAATGTAATTGTGAATCATCAATTACACATCCCATAATTTCAAGGCCCTAATGAAGCTCTAGAAATGAACTCAGAATGCCAAAATAGTGAATAACATGGAAGAAACAGTCATAATATGTAATCCAAGGATTCAGCTAAAAATCTGACAAACACAAAATGCAAATGTTATCATTTTCCATAAGGAGATGCAATAAAGAAATTCAATTGGAGATGCACTCAGAGTTTTATCAAAATTCAGAATAATGAAATAAATTATATAGATGAAAATCAGCTAAATTGATATGCAAAAATCTAATCAGATTGCACCAAAATTAATCATCACCAAATTGAATTGACAACAGATCTGTTGCACGATAATTCAGATTATGCATAAACTTCATCCAAAGTAAATTCAAGTTTGTAACAACACAATATCAATTATACTTACATCAGAGTCAGATGACGCTAACAGACTTTCATCATAATTAAAACTAACGCTAAGTACCGATGCAGAATGACCTTGTAGTTTATTGATGAGTGGCTTCTTAGCACGTTCCACATCAAAGAAATGCACGCACATGTCTTCACTACCAGACACTGTAACATAAAAAGATGACATCACTGCAAGCAATACAGTAAACAAAGTGGGGGAATTACCTCAAACTTTTGCTTGTTAAAAACAAAAGTGGATTGTAAAATCCAGTCTGCCACTAGAGGGTGCTTTCCAGGGTTTTCTAATTTGCGATGTGACCTTGTATATAAAAAAGCCTAGGTCTGTTCCCATATAAGACCTCATTTACATATATCGTGTATTTGATTCACAACTAGTGGGACTTAAATACAAGCTAGGTACATTCCATTCACTTCTGATGAGGCTGCACTATGACCGTACTCACCTATACAAGCACCTTGGCGAAATGATATCAAAGGACAGAATATACTTTTTATTTGTAAACTGCGATGCTTTATACCAAATTTCCTTTTAAGCTGTAACCCACCATCAGTATCTGTAATTCTGTAAGAAAATTAAAAATGAGAGCAACTTGGCACTGTGTATGTAAAAGTATATGCCTATAATGAGTATTACAAAGCCATCCAACATCTATGGAGGATTTGAAAGACTTCAGGACCAACTTCTAAAGCATTGTATTGCCTGCATCTAAAATGTAAGTGTCAATGTGTGGGTATGAAAAACTTTCCAACTTTAACCGACACATTTTTGAGACCAATGGAATTCCAGTCAGATTAAATTATTTTGATTTTTATGTGATGTATTTAGGCTACCGGTAGTAAAATGTCAAATGAAATTTTGAAGTTGCTTGTGTTTCTGATATGTCTAGCCTCGTATACTAATCTAACAAAGTGAATGGATGACACAATTTGCCAGCAGTGCAACCACTCACCTAAACTGACAGAGTGAATGGATGGCACAATTTGCCAGCAGTGCAACCACTTACCTAAACTGACAGAGTGAATTGATGGCACAATTTGCCAGCAGTGCAACCACTTACCTAAACTGACAGAGTGAATTGATGGCACAATTTGCCAGCAGTGCAACCACTTACCTAAATAGACAGAGTGAATTGATGGCACAATTTGCCAGCAGTGCAACCACTTACCTAAATAGACAGAGTGAATTGATGACACAATTTGCCAGCAGTGCAACCACTTACCTAAATAGACAGAGTGAATTGATGGCACAATTTGCCAGCAGCGATGGGTCTCTGGCTTCCCTACTCAACCATGTACCACATGAAAGACTAGTAATAGGACTTCCTTCACATATCACCATACGTTTACATCTTGTCAGTTTCCCACTCATCACATCACAGAGGAATGAAAATATCAATCCTCTATCATCACCAGCCCATAAAATCTTCCCCGTTGGATCAAAGGCCATTGATAAGACCTTGCCTGATGCCTTGCCTAATCCACCTTTGGTACATTTACCAGTAGAGACATTCAGTACTTGTATGTGACCTCTAACATTACCTGTCTATACATTATGTTAAAGAACTTAAGGAACTATTTTTTTAAATATTTTTGTGCCAGGCAATCATCCTGACTTTTTTCAATATGCAAATTGCAAATACATGTGTTTTCAGTAAACATAGTTCATCTTGCCATTCCATGTCCAGATTCATGTGGTTTGGCTCGATAACTGGGTGATTAGCAACATGACATTACTTCAGGTTGATGCGATATCCTGGCATCAACCAGGCCTGCAGCTGTTGACAATAAATTGCATACATTAGTGAATGAATCTTAGCCAGTGGATTTGGCCTTCTCGTCAAGTTTATGGCACCTACCCAGGGTACAGTGGATTTGGCTTTTTCATCAAGTTTATAACACCTACCCAGGGTAAAGTGGATTTGGCCTTCTCATTGAGTTTTATGGCACCTACCCAGGGTACAGTGGATTTGGCCTTCTCATTGAGTTTATGGCACCTACCCAGGGTACAGTGGATTTGGCCTTTTCATCAAGTTTATGACACCTACCCAGGGTACAGTGGATTTGGCCTTCTCATTGAGTTTATGGCACCTACATGTACCCAGGGTACAGTGGATTTGGCCTTCTCATTGAGTTTATAACACCTACCCAGGGTACAGTGGATTTGGCCTTCTCATTGAGTTTATGGCACCTACCCAGGGTACAGTGGATTTGGCCTTCTCATTGAGTTTATGGCACCTACCCAGGGTACAGTGGATTTGGCCTTCTCATTGAGTTTATGGCACCTACCCAGGGTACAGTGGATTTGGCCTTTTCATTGAGTTTATAACACCTACACCAAGGGTACAGTGGATTTGGCCTTTTCATCAAGTTTATGACACCTACATGTACCCAGGGTACAGTGGATTTGGCCTTCTCATTCTCTACCGTTGAGTCTGTGCACATTTGCCCATCTAGGGTAGGGATCTATGGTGATCAAACCTAGCTACAATTCAACTTCAGAACCTGCTGATCAAGATCAACTAATATGCTACTTGTTACTATTGACTATGAAAGGGTTGTAATATGCAGAAGGATACAACAACCATGTTATTATTGACAGGTTGAAATTGACATGATAGTATTTCCGCTCTATCAGTATCTTCCAATACACGTACACATTTACCACTGCTAACTTGCCACAATCTAGTGGTACCGTCTAATGATGATGACAAAATCAAATCATTGGATAAAGACCAACAAAAATCTGAAAGACAAAATGTTAAATTTTTCAGCTGGTTGCATGGATGGAACCATACAAGTCTTGTAAAACACAGCCCCAAGATTTAAATACTCTAGATTCATACAGCTCTATTCGAGATACAATTATAAATAGCGACAACTGTAAACTCAACTCGAACAATGGATATTGTTGAATCACACACAACTTCCTTTGCCTGTTCATGCTTTGACCTTAGGCACTACCCAGTTATTATCTGGTAATCATGTGGTATCAATTGACCAATGAGAATGGACTATTTCTGTATTATTGTTATAATTACCTGTAACCCCTCTTTCATGTCCTCTGAGTACACATACTATAGTAGCAGGAGATGGCAATACTTGGCACACTGACACTGTACAATCCAGAGAACTACATGCAATTCGTGATTTGTCATTATTTGCAAACTTTACACAGGTCACTGAAATAAAATCAAAACACATGATATTGCTAAGTCTGTAATATTTTAGTCATCACATTCAAATTTCATGAAAAAAAACAGTATTAAATATTAAAGTTGCCAAGGACTCATATTGGAAATAACTTGGCATAGTGAGACTATGGCACTGTTTTTGTGCAAAATTGATATCAGTTGCACTACACATGTCAGTATGGTCTCGTTCGGTGTAACATTGATATTGATTTCATCAATATTATACCATACCTGCATCTGTGTGTTGATCAAAAATATGATGTACTCCAGCAAAGGCATAATTCTCGTCAATACTTGTACCTCCTGCCATAGCCCTAGGAAAACATCAACAGCAAATTAGGAAACAAGTCAATTGATTCTTTTACTTAAACTAGATGCCATCTATTATCGTGAGACTTTGAAAATATACGAATAATTAGTGACAAATGAATGAGTCTGGAGGGCTGTTGGCGAGAATTATGTATGGGTCAGTCTGCATATGCGAGTAAAGTAGTGAAGTCACAAAGATGGTCAATCAATTATGTGCCGATTATGTGTTTATGTAGTGCCTGGTCATTCTTGCATGCACTAGGATAAGCACTCTTTTTTAATATTTGACTAAAAAGTCAAGATTTGACAAGAAGCAATATAGTTGTACATATTTTCAAGAAGCTGAGATGTATGAGAATATGGATGTACATATTTTCAGGAAGCTGAGGTGTATGAGAATATAGCTGTACATATTTTCAGGAAGCTGAGGTGTATAAGAATATGACTGTACATATTTTCAGGAAGATGAGGTGTATGAGAATATGGCTGTACATATTTTCAGGAAGCTGAGGTGTATGAGAATATGGTTGTACATATTTTCAGGAAGCCGAGGTGTATGAGAATATGGCTGTACATATTTTCAGGAAGCCGAGGTGTATGAGAATATGGATGTACATATTTTCAGGAAGCTGAGGTGTATGAGAATATAGCTGTACATATTTTCAGGAAGCCGAGGTGTATGAGAATATAGCTGTACATATGTTCAGGAAGCTGAGGTGTATAAGAATATGACTGTACATATTTTCAGGAAGCAGAGGTGTATGAGAATATGACTGTACATATTTTCAGGAACAGAGGTGTATGAAGAATATGGCTGTACATATTTTCAGGAAGCCGAGGTGTATGAGAATATGGACTGTACATATTTTCAGGAAGCCGAGGTGTATGAGAATATGGCTGTACATATTTTCAGGAAGCTGAGGTGTATGAGAATATGAGCTGTACATATTTTCAGGAAGCTGAGGTGTATAAGAATATGGCTGTACATATTTTCAGGAAGCCTGAGGTGTATAAGAATATGGCTGTACATATTTTCAGGAAGTCCAAGGTGTATGAGAATATGGCTGTACATATTTTCAGGAAGTCGAGGTGTATGAGAATATGGCTGTACATATTTTCAGGAAGTCGAGGTGTATGAGAATATGGTTGTACATATTTTCAGGAAGTCGAGGTGTATGAGAATATGGCTGTACATATTTTCTGGAAGCCGAGGTGTATGAGAATATGGCTGTACAATGTACATATTTTCAGGAAGTTGAGGTATATGAGAATATGCCTGTACATATTTTCAGGAAGCTGAGTGATGAA